AGTTTCCTCTTCTCATCATAAATTCACAAAATAGTCCCGTTTATAGTCTGCACTTTGTGCCAGGAGATTGGGACAAAAATAGTTAAATTTTTGGCGTAAAAAACAAATATTGACTTGAATTTTGTCTGTTGGCTCCAAAATTAGGGTTCATTTCCAGAAATATTGTGGGATATAAGCAAAAAGTGCAGAAAAATTTGGGCAAGAAAGTCTGGTGGTGGAAAGGTTAAGTTTCTAAGGTAATGGCAGTACTATTGCTTCTGCACATGGGATCAAAACACTTATATCGATTAAATGTTCCTAGTGAATAACTGTCTGATAAAACAATAGTTTTACTGTATGTTACTTTTTTATTTATTTTATAGCAAGTGCAACAGTTATCAGACGAAAACAAGAAATCAGCACACTATTTAAATGGACAATACGAATTGCCAATAAACGTATGTCTATTATTTTAATCATTTATCGTACCATCTTGACAATGGCATAACACTCAGTTTTCATATCTATCATATTTGATCTGCTGGAAAAGCATATAAAACCATAATTGCATTCACAGTATTTGATCAACCCAAACCTGTAGGTGCAGACTGAGTCTAGTAGATTGACTGATGAAATTCATAACATTTTGTTTGGTGGCCTTTGAGATTCGAGAATATCTAAAAGTATGCACTATGGCGCTTTAAAGCAGAGCAGAGGTTGATGTGATCCCATAATGGCTGAGTGCATAAGTATGCAATAATCTCGAGATATCTTATTCTGTATCTTTTTCCTGGTTTCCTGTTTATGCTAACAATGTTGGTTTGACTGTCAACTTTGCTGTTCATACCACCTCCTTGCAGTCAGGATAATGACAGTAAGTAGTATCAGACCTGTGTTGCAGTAAAAAAAAGCACTGTGGTGGTACCACCATGCTGTTTGTATCCTGGGAAGGAAACTGGTTTGTCTTGTGTGATTACAACAAGTCGATCTACATGTATTGTTTTTACAGGAGGAGAAAGACTCAAATGCAATGACATCATTGTACATATTAAAACTACTATGAATGATGATTTTACATGTGAAGCATTTGGTGTTGATTATAGTAATGTATTACTGAAGGATGTCTTGGGAAGTAAGAAATACTGGTGTGATATGAGTCAGAAAACATGGATGGGTAAGTGAAATCTGCCTTGACCCCAAGAGGTCATACATCTTGGTACTTCCTGGTACTTCCTGGTACTTTGGTTTATAAAATCCAATCTTATGTTTAGTTTGTAACCACTCTGTTACCACATAATCAATTAGTGAGTTATGGTAAATTTGTGTCCAATCTGGAAATTTATTATATTGTATAAAGTCAGGATATTATGTGTGGCGGTGTCAGACCAGTGTGGTAGTTAAACAAGAACAACAAATTCTCTGGTCAGGTAATGCCTAAGTTCAAAGTGGATGCTCACAGTTTGTTTGTTTTTTTTGTTTTTTTTGGGGGGGGGGGGGTTTCTGCAAAAACATTGAAAAAATGAAAGAAAAAGAGTTTATGGCACATGTGAAAATCCACTGTTCTTGATGGTGTTGGATTCTGTTAACCTCAAATCTTTGTCTAGCATCCATCTGTCAATCATTATGGCTGAGGTTATAGAATCTATACAGAAAAGATAGATTGTGAATCTTGCGATCTGATTGCTGGAAACAGCCTTGCCATGTTGGCGTTTCAACTACACTAATCTCATTTGTATCAAGAGTTCTCTTAGAAAGCGGAGGCTATTTATCTTATCTGAATAATTTATTATCTAATTTTCAATTGAATAGAGCTATGAATAATTTGACATGTTGACTTAATGTTACAGGTTTATTATCAATGTACTGCCATACTATACTGGAATATGCAGGTGGTTTTAACAGAGATACGCTATCTCAAATTATATACGTTTTAATTTGTGGTGCTACGACACAGTGCAATGTACAAAATAGAAGACTTTTTGATTTTTTTACTGAAATAACCAAACATTTTAGGTAAGTGTCAATTTATGTCATATCGCCCTCTCGTGTTGCTAAGTTGAAAAGTTGTGCCACCTTCTAGTAAACTTGAAGGCCTTGAAAAGTAACTTTATTTAGTTGAAGTAGAAAATGACCACAACAATCTGAATGATTTCTGTTTCTCTTTGTTTGGGCGTCCAACAGTAATGGTTGGGCAGTAGGTTCAAACACTGCTATAGCAATGGTTTAGCTTTGGATCATCTTCTCTTGAATTATTGCAAAAAAATAAAATAATTTGACTAAAATATGTTTTATTTTGATGTGTATTTGTAGAAATGAGAAGAGTAGTATAGTGTTGGTCAATATTATCACAGCTATGAATAGTTTCTGCCAATCAGTTGCAATAAATTGTAGAAGACTAATTTGTAAACTTGGTGAAGATGTATTACCCACATTGCTGTTTTTATGGAGTCAGAGACCTTCACCAGATTTAAAGGTAAGCACTGTTACAATGTATTAACACCTGGTAAGTGACAGTGACCCAGTTTAACCTAGATCAGGATTTCATAAATTTGCATTTAGTAAGAAACTGGCATCTGGTAGACAATACCCATTTCCATGTTTGCTCTATTGAAAGCACACATCTTTAGTAGAAAATAAACCAAAAGTCGCATTTGTTAAATACTGAATCATTAAAATATTTTTTTTTTACCTTGCCCGTACCATCAAAGATGGAAGGGAAAGGTATATTAAGGGAAAAATTTTGTCCGGCGTTGTCGTTGTTGTTGTTGTTGTCGTTGTCGTCGTCGTCGTCGTCGTTAATAATTGTTATTGTGTGCATAATAACTTTACTAATTCTATTCCAAACTTTATCAAACTTGGTCACCTTATTCATCAGTATAAAGTCTTCCCTGAGTTTGAACAACAGATGTCCTGTATGAAAATATCATGCAAAAATTGAGAAAATCTGATAAAATATTTTGACTGTTTCTACTTGACTGATCACTGGTGATACACATCAAAGGTCACTGATCTCAGTGGAAATATGCATTGTTGTATGTGTTCAAAGAAGCAAATGATTTATCTTGTAATAATATCCTTGGTAATGTATCTCAGAATCCCATACTGGGTTTCAAAACCAACTCATGGAGAGATTGCACAGTCTGATACACATTTGCAAACCTACCAATAAAATCTTTACAGAAAACAAGATGTCAGAAAATCAATATAAGCACTCCTATGAACTGGGTGCCTAACTTTGATTAAGATCTGAAGCTAATAGAAAATCTGTTTAGTTCAAAGTTATCAAATCAAAAACAATACATAAAAAATACATTAAAAGCAAAACATTTTATCCACATTTTAAAAAGAAAATTATTCTAAAATATTTGTATTCTGTATTTGACAAACAGTTCATTCGACAAATGAAAACTCACAGGAATATGTTTCAGCTATTAGAACAGAATGATAGAGTTTTTATAATACTAGTTTAAAAACGCACTTCAGAGATTGCAGTGTTTGAAGATGTAGTTTCTCAGGAGGCAACAGTACTGTTGACTTCTCCCTCCACTGGACACCAACTGTTTAAGTTGATTTGCATACAAAGCAGAGCTTGCAACATGATAGCTATTCATAAAGGGT